ATGGCGACAGAGGGTAGAGGCTTGTCGAAACGACTTGCCACAGATCTAGAATATTCCATTCCTCTACTGCACAAATGGGGAGAGAATTTACTAAGCAGAAAACAATGTTTTGAAGAAAAGTCAAATGCTGATGCCTAACCTTGCAAGTAAACGGTCGAACCCCGGTATGAACGGGCATATGCCGATTCAAATTGTACTGTGCGTTGAAGACTTTTCCACATTCCTTGCAACAGATCCTGCTCTTCTTTTCTGTAAGATATTTTTTCGCACCAAAAAAGGCCTATTATTCAAAACAAACTTACCATCACTGGTGCAATCCGATGTTTGCCATGCATTACCCTTACCGACCACTGCCGATCCCAGCAAGATGTTCGATTGAACCAATGGCTGACGGCACGTCTCCGACAGAAGACTCGATATGGAAAACTTCAAACCAGCCATCGTGAGATGGCTGAAGAATGCGCAGCCAGCAGACTGTCTCTTTTGACGACGATTCGCGCACTCCCGCCCCTACTCTTCAGAGCTACTGCTTATCCGATTACGGTATGGTCAAGGCTACATCGTCAAATGGACGTGTTTTACTGGAAGTCGAAGGAGTTCCACCATTTACAGAAATACTTGCATCTTTTCCAATTTCAAATGTCCCAAGATTACGAAAATGGTTTTGCTTTGCAGTGCCTTTTCAAGTTGATCTGGATAGCGCGCTGATGTGTGGATTGGGTTTTGATGATCATTGCCCTTCTTTATTTGTCCACTAGTGAAACAGTAATCTCAAAGGTGCCAGTTGCAGGCGCGCTCGCTTCGGGACCCGCTCGGTTTCCCGCTATCTGATGATTTTTAAATGCATCTTACCTTAATTCTTCATATATTAGATAAGTTACCTCAGGCACCCGATTCTCTGCTTAGTGTTTAATTTCTGGTGAATTTCCACAACTCCGCTGAATTTCTCAATTCAATCTTACTAGCGTGAATTTGAATTTCTTTGATAAAGGTAGCCATGTCAATATCTTTACGATATCGTGCTGACGATTTTGTGTTTATGACAGTATTTTTTTCAATGGCTGAGCGAATGCATTTGTAATAGAAATTATCGCCTGTTTTCGTTTTGTCCGCTTTTTTTCCAGCTTTTCTCGTCGCTAAGTGAGGAAACACTCCAGTGCTACTACGTCGCTCCATCGCAAGCGGTTACTGTATGATTTCGTACTCCGCGTATTGACGCTATAAAATTCGCAAACTTTTCGGTAACCTTTTGTGGCTACACGCGTTGTTACAGCAAAAACATTAAAATGACTAGCTTATTATTCAATTGCACCAAGGTTTTCAAAGCTTGCACGACCGCGGTGGCGGCAGTGCTCAGACATTCGCAAATGACTTCCGGGAAAAATTGAACTCTTAAAACTTTTGGGGAGAACGCTCCTATTGGGTCGTGTGGTTGGGCCCTGCCCTACCTGGCTCCGCCCTATCTGGCAGTCCAATAAGAGGGTCCCCCCGGAAGTTTTAGAACTTCAGTTTTTTTCGGAAGTCGTTTGCGATTGTCTGAGTGGGCAATTACAAAATTTACCGTCAAGACGAATTAATTTTTTGGGAGTTTGTACAAAAAGCTTTTTCGTAAAGTTTTTCGAAAAAGTTTTGGAAGATGCGATTGGGTACGGACGCCCGGATTGAAAGAACTTAAGCTTCACTTTTCAATATTCAGTTGAATGTGTATGGTTTTGCTAGGGTCCCTACACTCCCCATCTCTGTAGCAGTGGCGTGCCCAGGATTTCGGCTCGGGGGGGGGGGGGGGGGGTGGGGGCAAAATTTTTTTTCAAATGAAGGTGCGCGGCGTCAGCCACGCACTCCGAAAAATTTTTAGGGGGGCTTCTCAAAATTTTTGCGGGCCCCAACTCCCAAAATCTGGAAAAAAGGGGCGGGGCTGATGCCACGCCGCCGAAAACAAATTTTTTATAAGGCTAATTTGAATTTTTAAAAAATTTTAAAAATTTCCATGTGCTCTCTTCTTTAAACATGGGCATTTCGTGTTCTTTGTTAGTAATTTTGTGCCGAGCAGGTTTTTATGGTGCATCTTTACTGCCTAACGTTTCGACAAGTATCGTCTTCTTCGGAGGCCTGAAAGGGATTGCAGTTTTATATTTGTCTGTCTATACGACCAAACGCCTCCTCAAACTTGTGCGCTCAGACCTCGTCCAGAGTCAACGTACTGGGATACAGTCCGAAGTAATAGTCGCCAACCTTCGATCCACCGCTGAGTTAGTCAGCCCGCACGACTGTGACGGACATCACTGAGGATCGCCCAGTGTGTCAAAGATATATATAGTCTGCTGCTATAGTCGACATAATGATTTTTTTAAATTGTCTTAATTGTTAAAAAAATAAACAAGTCACTTGCACATTTTTATAACTCATGTAACTTTCAAAAATTTCTCGACCCGTTCTCGAGGTGGAGGCGCCCCCCCCCCCCTCGGTACGCCACTGCTCTGTAGGTATGTCGCTAGATTGGAACAATCGATGGTAAAGGCGTTCCGAACTCGAACGTTTGTCAGCAAAAAGGCTAATAACAGAAATAAGATAATTAGAGCTTTGCAGGTGGCTCTGGCTCTTTTCAAAATACAAGAATTAAATGCAATCCACTGCTTTTGGGAAGACACTCGCTGTATGAATATGATTTGAAAAAACGGCTCGAAGTAACGTTTGCATCTCTAAACATCTAGAGGGAAGAAAATTTTGTTTTCCTCCATGTAGACCAGACTTACCGAACTTTTTTGAACTGTTATCAAATTCTGATTTCATATATTCTCATTTTCTTTTAACATGAGTTTTCACATCGCGCTTTGGTCATCTTTTGTACCCACTTGTAAAGTATCGATTATTTTCTGTTCTCGTTCATATCTATTTTCCTTTCTGTGTGTCTGATCTGAAAAGTTGAACTATTTTGTGTTCACATTTATTTCCACTCCCTTTCGTCAAACTTCAAAGAATTTCGACCGTCGACATCAACCGTCTGTTTCCTCAGAATCTCTTAGGGATCGTTCAGACCCCGCACAAAGGCGCATGAAAGCGCACGAAGGCGCACAAAGGCGCACGAAGACGCACAAAGGCGCACGAAGGCCTGCGATCGACAATGAAGACAAACCACGGGGCCCTTGTGCGCCTTTGTGCGCGGTGAACGATCCCTTATGGAAATCGCATGTTTATTTTTGAAAGTGGAATGAAACATTTTCTTACCACTTTTGTGCGCATTTGCACAGAAAACTCCAAATTTCCACAACGCCGGTTTGAGGATGATTCGGAAGCTGATTTCGCTGCCGGTGTTAGCAGACAGATCGCTCGTGCGACTGGACGAGCGTATCAATGGCATGAAAAATACCGAAGGGTCCGGCAAAACTAAATCCCACGATACTTGCGTGCCACCGGCAAAAACTTTGTCTGAGTCGGTCCATTTGGAGTAGGCGGCTGGGCAAGAATTCCATTTCCCGCCGCTTTTACTCAGGATAACCCCCTGCCTCCATAGTTCTCGTACGTAGTGGATTTCGGCCCGCATTGTTTCATGTACGAACTTACCATCAAAATTTTTGGCTGACTTCCAAGGATGACTATACACTTGATAAATGTCTTTGTCTGCCCACAAAAATTGTTTGATATATTTTGTTTACAACCATAACTCGAGTCCAGGATAGATACCGTGCCTGAATAATCTATTATGAACCCCTACGACAACGTATTAGGTCGTTTCATACGTTTGTAGAGAATTCTCGTTCTCATTTCTTTGAGGAGCGGTTATTATGCGGCAAGATGCGTATATCATCGAGAAGAGCTGATCATGCTCTTCAAGACATTTTTCTATGGGAAGCTGATTTGCTTTGATTCCTCAGGTTCCAAAGAAAGAATTCTCAAAAGGCAAAAAGAAGCACTTCCGGCACTTGTTCTTTTTTTTCTTGTCAAAAAAGAGCGTTTTGCTCAGCTTTTCTTGCCGATCATGGAAGAAGGCGTTTTCTCGTCAATATGAAACAAAGAAGGGATTGGATTGCTCTAAAAACAAAGAGTTTGCAGGGTGTCACCTGAACAAGACTTTCTGCAGGATGGGCAGGAGGTTCTGCACCGAGTCTTGCTAGGAAGAAAAAGACGGTCCTCCATACCGTACCAACCCGACTGCACTTCTAAACTAATCCCCACTGCACAAAAAGCCTAATAAACTGGTCCAGTGAGCTTTTTTGCGCGATAAAAATTAGTCCCCTACGGCAGCTGTCGTTATAGCTGTCCTGCAAGACTTGATCCGGAGGTACATTAGTACTCAATGTACTCCTGAGATTTGGCTCTAGCATATTGTCATCTCTTCCGGTCTATCACCTACCATATGGCGTCTGTTTAGATCTTGAAGGCGATCTCAGGCGCTGGTTGGACAACTTTTTTGGGTCCAGATCCGCTGATTTTTGGAAAAACGGGACCGAAAATCTGATGGCATGGTGGTACGAAGTTGTGCGCAATAGCTGAGTATACACTGTTGATTGAATTTTGCTACAATTTTGTCATTTCGTTGATTTATAAAAACTCTACGTGTGAGGAAGAAAAAGCACTTGGTGTTATCACGTTTATCAACTGGATAACATGACGTGTTGTGCAACGTGTTTGATCGTTTCATCTCTTCAATTAGTTTCACTTTTGTTCTTTTGGACCTCACCAGCGGCATCTCATTCGATTGTACTCCTGTATATTCTACTGCCAATAAATCTACATATTGTGTTCGACGCACGTGGCCCACTCCCCCAACAGAAGGGCAGAAGTCTCTACTTCTTATGAAACGACCTAATATAATACATGTACATAGGAATAAGGCTATCGAAGTCGAACCCATAATGCAAGTGGCAGATGTAAGACAAGAAATAGATTTTATATGGAAGCTTCATTCCCATACAAGCCATTGAATGCATATTTCTAACACAAGGGAATAGGAAATCAAAGTCACATGCGCCAAGGACATACTCCCAAAATAAAAAAAAAATGCACAGCACACACTTTACCTAAGCAATCAGATGGGAGGCTCATCCTGTGGATCAGTGTCCAGCTTCGTATACCTAAGATTCTACACATCAAAAAGATGTGAGTACGGCTAGTGGGCGTCATCAATAACTTAATACTAAAGGCAAAGGAGGTAGATTATTACGCTGTGTGTGCAGGGGTGGGGGCCTTCGGCTCATACCCATACATGAACGTCGACAGAATCACAGTTGTTGCACCCGCGGCAAACATCCTGGAATAGTGGGACTCGAAAAGTAAAATCACATATCAGTAGGTTTTCAAGCAAGTTTAGCAGCAGTTTTCATTTAGACTACGATTATGGGCCAATCGCCGTGGGGTGAAAGTCAAGGCTATGCTTACGATGGAAAACATAGAAGTGGTAATATATGAAAGTGAAGTATTGAGTAATTAAAGGCAGCGTCCAGGCAAATCTGGACATACGGGATCTCACGTGGATAGTAATTTTAGGGCCCTAACTAAGCCACTGCCCGACCGGCAGCTCAGGTAGTGCTCTAATGGCTGAGATATTCCCCTCGAAACTGGACCCCGGAATCGTATTTCGCATGGATTCATGGCACAACCCGTGGGTCACGCGAAACTGATAGGTTGCGCCATGAATTCATGCGATACGATCCTGGGGTCCAGTTTGGAGGCGTATATCTCAGCCGTTAGTGAGTCACCTGCGCTGCCGCTTGAGCAGTGCCTTAATTAGGGCCCCAAAACTCCTTTCCAGGTAAAATCCCCAGAGGTCCGGATATTCAGATTTTCTTTTCATAACTGATATCATCAGATATGCAGTTCGAATAAAAAATGCAGAAAAATTCTTCGAAGTCTTTTTCTTGAAGCGAGATGATGCTCAGGCCCTTGTTTCGTCGTACGCGACAGATCTTTCTGAACCCATTAGGGATACATTATTACAAATTATGTCTCAACCGTGTCTGCCACGACAAATGCGTCAAGAGGAATCGCTGCGTGGGCGGGGTGGGAATGGCGCCCGAGAAGGAGGCGTGGCCTGTCCCACTCTCTTCATCGAGCGATCGAACTGGAACATTTGCGCTAGTTGGGAACCTGCTATTGCGACTTTCAAGAATCTTACCCACAAATGCACCAGGGCAATGCCTTTGTGTGGTTACGTTTTTTTTTCAAAGGGGAAGGTATATACATAACAGTGGTTCACAATGATGCGTTATTTGAAACTAAGTAACAGTAGCTTACAATACGCACGTATTCATGTATGCGCCTTTAAACGCTTAATTAAAAGTGTTCCATGTTTGCGACAATTGTAAATACGGCTTTACAATTTTTTTGACTGATTTTTTTCAAAGTAACAGAATCACTAATGCTGATATTGTTTCTTTTTCATCTTCTTAGCTTATACTTCACTATAAACACAATTCAGAGCATGCAACTACCAGCGCGATTAATTTTGATCTTCGAAATCACAAATATCATTTAGAAAAACAATGAAAAAAGTTCCAAAAATAAGAATTTGTATTCCGCACCGAATCATTTTAAAACATGAAACTCTCATTTCTATTAGCGTCCATTATGTTTCCTTTGCTTGCAAAATGCATTATCAGAATTCTACGGCGCATACGACGCAAAAACTAGGGCCAATTTGATGCTTTATTAATGAATTTTGCTGCCATAGTAGATTGCTCATCGCTGTTCAAAGCAATAGAAAAGAGAGAGAGGAAAAAGGGAAATGCAAGCTCTCTCTCTCTTGAGAAAGAGGCATAAAAGTAAAGCTCGAATGAGACTAAATGCTGCGATCATATCAGAAGCTCACATTTGAGAACGAGATATAAAAAAATGCAGAGCATAAAAGATGGTAATCGTTAGCGAGAGGAAGATGAGAAAGAAATTCTTTTCTTTTCTCTACATCTACGTAAAATGGGGCAAAATTCAGAAATTGGCTAGCCTATAAGCATAAAGGTGCTGGCTGCAGGTTCGAGATATTGATAGATAAAAAAAATAGAAGTAGATTCGCGAATAATTCTAGCACCTTCCCGATAAGAAAAAGAAGAAAGGGAACAGGTAGGAAATAGTCTACTCATAGGCTTGATATTAGCGAAAAACTTCTATAGGAGGATTCAATTCTGGAAAAAAATTAAGAATCAAATCAGAATGAATACAAATTCAAGTAAGAATTAAGGAGTGAGAAGAGTTCCAGTGCATGAGTTATGTAACTAGTAATTTGAAAAAAAAAACTTACATTGAGGGTGTGAAATCACCCAACAACCACCAGGAGATGAATGAAGATAATATGATTGAAAGTGACACAGCGAAGCCTTTCAGTATGTTGTCAGCATATTTTACTACCAGAGCGATGACAAGTCCACCATAAGCCTGGAAGATCACATACGTACAAAAAGCAAATAAGTCCACAGAGTTCCCGACCTGTAATGCTACAACTATCCAAATAATGGTATTATATCCTTGGAGGAAACCATCTTTCTGTATTGCTCCCCAATCATATAGCCAGCACATGAGAAAACCTCCAAAAATGGAGAAAAATGCTAAAAAAAGAATTTTCTAATCAGAAAACCTAACCGAACTTCTGACCTAGCTGAAGATTGCGCATCCACAACGATACGTTAGTTGTTTTAAGAATTTTCTCGAAATATACACCAGCAAAACCGCTGGAGAAGCAAGCTGCCAATACAGCCAGCAAACCAATCAAGCTGTCGGAGGTATCGCCACTGCTTTGACCTTTCTTTGGACCTCCTGATGGCCACTACAAAGATACAAAAACATAAACTAGCAAGAATTGGTGGAAAGATAATGAACAAAAGTTACCTGAACTAGGGCAACCCCAACTGTCAATAACACAAGTGCTAGCCATTTCAAACGATTCAGTGAGCGGCCAAGTATAGTTACGGAAAACAATGCGGTAGTTAAGATTTTCAGCTGATAGGTGACCTGGAAAAGGTTATTCTATATGATTACTCCCATAGAGAAAGTATATTTGAACAAACCTGGTATGTTGCTGCGTCCAATTTGGAAAGCGCAAGGAAAAGCAGGTTATTTTGAATAACATAGAGAATAGCTGGTACTGCTACCTTAACAACTATTACTATTTTTTTTCACAAAAAAAAAGAACTGGTGATCAAAACAAGAAAAAAACTTATTCTAAATAGAATTCTGGGGGTTGAGGAAATGCAAGCGCTGCCTGCTGAATAAACATAAAACAACCAGCTATGCTCGAACAGTGATTCTTTGGAAACGAGAGATAAAAGATTGATTTACACTCTCCGGTTATTAGTTATCTCAAGCGATCAATACAGTGTGTTTGGAGTCAAATTATGGGAAGCAAACTAAAACGCGGGAAAAAAGCAGCTTTCATTGCTACCAACCTTGAGCGTATCTCTTCTTTTCACAACTACCTCGGTGTGTAACTCGCTTTGGAAAGATGATAGTCTCCAGCCTGAAAGTAAATATTCAGAAAACAAAAGAAGATTCTGGAGGCGTGGGTGAAAATAATAGTTTCATTAATCTTATATTACAATTCCTGAGCAGCGCACATGATTCCTTCACGGCTGAGAATTCCGTCCCAAACCCTCCGCGCTTCTGCCGTTGCCGTAACTCCCGAGTGATAGGATAGGTTCCAGCACGAACGTAGTGTTAATTTGAGCGGAGTCGTTTTCGGGTTACGGTAGTTAATACTCCCCCCTCCCCTCACTCATCAGGGGAGACGGTCAAGAGGCGCGATTTCTCTGGCTGTCACCAATTTGCTACCCCAGTTTTGTGCTATGCGAGTCTTCAAAAAGTACCAGATAAACTGCATTAGCTTACCATCGTCTGAGGTTACCACTTGCTGACTTTGATGGCATTTGCTGGGAAACGGACCGAAATGTTTACGAATTTGTTCTTAACTGCATTTCCATGGGTTTTTGACCTTCAAAACTGCCGTTTTGAATCGATTCCAAGGTGTTAAGATTGAACAACCCATGCAACAATCTAATATATCTCCTTCTAAAATCTGGCTAAATTTGAAAAGTTACAAACACTTATTATGTGCTATTTGGTATCCATCTGGCAATAAAAATCGCGCCTCTTGACATACACCCACTCATCAGTCAGGCGAAAAAACCTATACGCCCAGATTTGCCTGGACACTGCCTTTAAAAATGGTATCTAACCTGATTATAACATGTTCGGTGTTACCATTTGATGCGCGGCAACGCGACAGTTATCTACAGATGGCTTGACCTTATTACACTATCCCTACAGCGCTGGTTGGGTAGTTGACATCGATTACAGTAAGCGATAAGTAAATAGATTACACAACATCCTACCATGGTTATGTAGCAAGACAACAACACAAGTAACCATCTTGACTATCTCAGCCAAGACCACAGCAGTTGACGACAGGTATCTGGGGCCTTCATGCTTCTAAACGAAGAATTCTAAGGTAGAAAGAAAACGGGTAGATTGGTACATATTTCTAGCACCGAATTTTTTCTGAATTCTCACAATTTTCAGTTCAAAAAACTCGTTCATTTATGTTAAAGAGGAAGAAAACCTTTTCTATCTCTATCGGATGCCACGAAAATATAATTCATGGCGCTTAGCGGCAAAATTCGTAGGAGGTATGAAGAATTGAATAAATAGACAGACAAAAATACTGTCGACATATGGCGGCGAGCTGGAAGCGCTCAATTGTGTGAAATTCGTCGAAATTTTGCGCTCCAATTAATTCCGAGTTTATTTTTAATCTTGGCTTCATGATCTACCGTCTCCAACTATGAGACGTTGGTCGATGCTTCCACAAACTCTTATTTTATTTTTCTGAACTTTCACAGAATTTAGAATTTTTAAGCTTAATAAATCTACTTTGAGATAAAAGCGGTCATATGTACCACAATAAATCTATTTTAACAATAAACTGTTGAATTTTAGAATCCTAAACATTTGAATACACTTTGAAAAATTTTGTGCGAGACCTACCTATCATTCACTAAATAAATAGTTCAAACTGTAGAGTCTCAAAGGAATAGATAAAACAGCATAAAAACTCACCTGAGTTCGCGAATAACGAAGAATGAGAACAAGTGCAGTGGTTTGTGCGATGAGAACCACAAGCGACACATATTTGAGGTTTTTACTCGACACCGTTGCAACCATCTCCCCCTGCAAAGACCAGAGATAGGACGTGAACTTCTTCAAGGCAAATTTTGCAGGAAAACGCTGCAGCGACTCGACACGGCTGGCAAGTGCTGTGGATGTGACGTAGCATTCGCTAAATACGCAACTTCACCAACGCACAAATGCACAGCTCAGGGGGAGGGGAGATGTGCTGGCTGAAGTTAGAAGTTTTATATCTTTCTCTGTTGGATAAAAGACCAATCTCTCTTTTGCCATGTCTTAATTGCAAGCCAGTGAAAACACTAGGTTTGCTAGTGCGCTTTCATGATCTCTATTGTTGTGAAGTGGGAAATTTTACCAAGAGTTTTCTTGTGTGACGTGGAATCATGGCTCATCTAGTCGGGTCTTTTTTTTTCAGAAGAACTGGCTTTTGATCCGACCCTCAATAGTTCTATGGACTTTCAGATTCATTCACATACAGTTTGCATCTGATCTAGTTCGGGGTCGGGTTTGATTTGGCTGCGTTGATGGTGCGAAACAATCCCAAATCAAATCAGACATTTATCTTTCTACTATATTCTTCTAAAAGTCTCACAGTTTGATGAATATATAGTTTGAATCAGAATGCAGTCCATATAGTAGCTTGAACCAATAAGATTTATGAAAGCCATTTCTTTTTTCCCTCCCTTTCTCCTCGATCCTTTATTTCTTTGTCTCAGAATCTCAGAATGATAGGATATACTTCCTTCTTTTGACGACCGTGTAATTGAATGATGTTGAATGTTTCAGATGGCGTATTTTCGCAGTTTCTTTGGTGGCGGAGGAGAATCAGAAGAAGAAGATGGTGCAGAGATTGTTGAGAAAATGGTCGAAAGAGCCGAAACGTGCACGGCCTTGGAAGATCGGAGGGATGCACTCAGAGCATTGAGAAGCATGGCCAAGGTTGCGTTTTTTTTCTCTCTTGGATTTTAGGTTTTTGAAAAATCGAGGAATATCTGTCCTAGAATCTGTCTCCATGTGGTGCAGAACTACAATGGAAAATAATGAGTGCATAAAATTGTGCAAAGTTTTTGATTTTGTTCAATGCACCATGATTCCCTAAAAAGGAGAGGGATTTCCAAAACCAACAAAAATTCAAATCATGAAAAAGACGGCTTTTTTCTCTACTCAGGTAGAGATTGTGTGTGAGTAGCCATTTGGAATCAGTTCTTTTATGTGTTCAGAATGTTAAGAAAAATACTTTTGACAGCTGAAGGCTGAAAATGAACACAGGACTATCATTTACTGTTGTTTATCACAGAAACTTCGATTAGCCGTTGGAACCATGGGTCTCAATGTCTACATGGATGTGCTGGAGAAAGAGCGGTCGAATCAAGAACTCATTGCCATCACTCTTGAGACTTTAGTCGCTGTACTCAGCAGTGATGATGAAAATACCGATGATGATGAGTTAGGAGAGCGGTTAGCTGAGGTTAGTGATTGGTTTGATTATATTTTGATACTATTACCTTTGTTCTTTTTGTTATTTACTGCTGTTACGGCTGTTGCCCATGTCCAATGATACAATGATCATTCTTTCATTCCTATTTTCCTTACGCGATCTCGCAGGTTGGTGACTAATTGTTTTCTTTTACATGGGGGAGGGGAAGTGATGTAGAAAATAGCCACCAACCGGAGAGATTGCGCAAGTAAAAATGAGACTACGAGAACGATCATCTTGTCATTAACAGAACATTTTGGTACGGTAAGGCGGACAGAGTTCGCGCAGTTTCATCCTTCGGATTCATCGCGACAAGATAATTGTAACAATATCGTTGCATGCCAATCTTCTTGCATTTCGGTTTTGATAGTTTTCCAACGCGATTAACTGTGATCTATCACAACCGCAATACAAGAAGATCGGCATGCAATGAACTCGTAACACTTGTCTTGTCGCGATTCGCGACGATGAAATTGCGTGTACTCTGCCCGAGGCCTAACCGTGATAGAGCATTGTCAAATTCCTGCGCATTTTTCGTATTCCATGTGTTCTATGTGATGACTGCTGGTATCTTCCAACCGAAATCATTCTCGTTTTTTAAATTTCTAGGTTTCAGGTCATGCTAAAGAAGCCTGTATTCATACCATCACTGCTTGCTGCTATAGATGACTATGATATCACTGTTAGAAGGTAAAGTACCAAATCTAATTTTTTAAAAAGATCTTTTCTCACACGAAACTCAGCTTGCTTTCAGGGTCGGAATACAACTTCTGACGTCATTGCTCCGCCATCGAGGCCCTGAAGTACAGGCAGCAGTGATGGCACAACCTACCGGTGTTCCACATCTTGTAGATATCGTGCACGATCGTCGGGAAGTTGTAAGAAACGAGGCAGTTCTAATGTTGTGTGAGCTGAGTCGTTCAAATTCACAGGTAGACCATCATAAATATTTTTCTTTTGGCCTTATCGCAATTTTATCTAATCTCTTTCTAATTTCTTCTGTTTTTAGATCCAGCAACTTCTCGCATATGAAAACACTTTTGTTCATTTGTTGGATATCATAGACACTGAGCCACTTGATAGTGAGTTTGGTTGCTGAATTATTTTCCGCTATTTTCCGCAAACTGCATATTTTCCGCATACTCTGCATTTTAGGTATCATAATCGAGGATTGTTTATTTGTCATTTTGAATTTGCTTAGGAAGAATGCCATGAACCAACAACTTTTCCGGGAAAACAAGTAAGTTTCCAAAATTTATCAGCTTGTCTAGTGTTGCTTTACCCTTCTATTCCTCAAATTTTCCTTTCTTCAGTCTTATTGCTCGTTTGGGAGTCGTTTTGAATGCGTTCTTGTACGGAAATGAAGAAGAGCCTGACGGTGGTGAATGGGTCAAGCAGCGGACCGCCAACATCATCTTCCTGCTCCAGGTCATCAGGTAGCTTTGAAGATCTGAATTTTCGCACACTGTCAAAAAAAAACATTCTTCAGGAGTTTGGTCAGTCCAGATAACTCAGGTACCAACACCCACGCAGCCCAGAAGGCCATCCACCAAACGAGTACGTTTCAATCCGTTCTTTTTGTTTATGTTCATATATTTGCCTCTTTCAAAGTATATTTCTAGAGATGCTTTCTGAACTATGTCGTGTCTTACTTTCCGAGATGGGTTTGCCCGTCGAAGTTCTTACGGAAACTGTGATTGCTGTTGCTGAAGCTATCAGAGGAAACTATACCAATCAGGAATATTTTGCTAGTACGAACCTTATCACTAATGAGAACGTTAGCAGGTGCGTTCTTGGTCTATTTATTAATGAGTTAGCTCTTTTCGCCTATGTGCGCCAGTGCTCTCTCCGCCTACAGTTTCTTTTACATAGGTCATCCCTTGTTGTTCTGCTGATTTCTATGACAGCAGAAAAGCAGCCATTCAAGATGCGTTGTGCCGTCTTCTACTGCTTCCTGTCGTACTTGCATGATAACGAATTTGGAAAGACAAAGGTGCTTTGCTAGGTTTTGATGCTTTTTTGAGAAAATTGCTCTTCAAGGTCATCGAGACGTTGCTGCCTGCTTCGCAACCAGAAACTTCGCTTTCAACTGGCTCTCTTATATGCCAGGTGAGTAGCTTACATTTACGAATGATTTCGTGTTACTAGGAAACATATAAGCACTAAGTGTTTCTGTTTTTCCTCTTAGGCTATCACATCTGGTGAATCAGTACAGTGCTGGTTCGGTTGTGTATCACTTCTTTATTGTTTGCTTGACGTGGAACATCTTAGGTAACCTTTACCTGAGATTTATTAGTTATATCCCGCATCAAGTTTAACATTTGTAGGGAGCAACTTTTGCGAGTACAACTATCAACGACAGTCGATCAGCCACCAGTATCTTTATTAAAGCATGTGGCCAATTTGATGGTGAGTTCTAGCAGATCCAGGCATCATTTGTTGCCATTCACAGAAATACAGTAGCTGCTTGCAAGGTGCTTCTACGTTTTTGTGCATTGACTGTATTCATAAAATCCAGGTGAGCATGGGTAACCGAAGAGTGCAGATGCGAGCGGGAATACTTATGCTGCTCTCAACATGGCTTAATAACTGCCCTGCTGCTGTGGCAAGTTTCATCGAGAACGAAGAAAATCTCCATTATCTTACGACGCAAATATGTATGTTTTGCACACTTTTTGATGAGTGAGGTCGCCAGTGGGCGCTGGTTTCGCGGACTACTGGTCCTTCCGTACATGCTTTTCATACCGTGTGAGGACCAGTAATCTACGGAGACGGGCTCTTTATGTCAATCAATATTTGTCTACCCCCTAATCAAATATATCGCATCAAGTTTTTTTTAGTGGATGACTGTGGAGAAGGTACCGAAAGTGAACAACAAGTTCTGAAAGGTTTGATGGCGTTCCTACTGTTGATATGCTTGCAGAACGTAGAAGATGCTACTGCAAAGTGAGTGATCTAACTTTGTACTCCGGTGATTACATCCCACTTGCAAAGCGTTTTCGTTTTTTCGATGGTCCTTTTTGGTGAATTTCATGCAAACATGTGTTCAGAGCTTCTCTCGAACAGCTTGTGGACAGAAGAGTCGGTCGTGAAGTTGTAATTGGAGCTGTAGAAGGGATATCGCGAACAGAGCAGTTCGTTCGAGCTGCTCAAAAGCCGCAGCCGCTTACGAAGACACCAAATGAGCTGTTTTTGGACTATCATTTCATAAAGATGCTCAAGTCAGTGGAGGGTAGGTCACGCTGTTGTCATAGTCACCTTTTTAAAGATTTTATTGCTTCTTTATTTCACTTTCATTGCGATCATTTTCTTCATGAATAGTTTAGGCCAATTAGTGAAGATGTTACGACCGACTGGCGAGTTCAACGGGACTGCTTCAAATGATAGCATTATTCAATCATTCAAGGTTCTGTTTAGATATTGCTTTTTGAATCAGTAAAGAACCTTTCTTTTAGGACCTTATCAAACGTCAAGATGAAGAAATTGCTGTTCTTCGACAGGAAGCTAAGAGGACAGCAGCACAGATCGAACAACTCAAACAAGAGGTATTTTCATTTCGAGTCGAGTGAGGATTAAAGTTTGCACACGTTTTCAGAATGATAGAACTCAGCTAGAGCACGAATTAGAGGACGTTAGAAAGAAACTCGAAGAAAGTCGAGTTGCAAACGCGCAGCATGAATCTACGCAATTACAAATACAGGAGATGTATAGGTATGGAAGTGCCCTTGTTGTATTTGTCGCATGTGTTGTCAATTTATAGGGTCAACCAGCAGTGGCAAGCAGAAGCCGCAAAGTACAAGCAGTGGGCGGAACAGTGGCAACAGTACCAGATAGCGCAGGTGAACTTCTATCGTACGGTTTATCTCTCATCTGTGTATGAGGGCTTGCGATTCGATTGAATTTTCACTTTTATATTCGTATTTTGATGTTTCATAAGCTAGTCCCGATGAAGGCGGTTGTCCATACAAGCGAGGTGTGCGTGAGTGGTGAGCTCTGATGATGCTCGAAAGTAGTCACAATCGCTTCGCAAGACAAGCACACCTTTGTAAGGGATCAGAATTCATATTGTAGGGAAGTTTTGAGAGAGATATAGTCAAACTTACACGTCCCAACCCTGCGTATCGGTTACAACACCTTTCCTGCAAAGGATTTCGAATTCAACTTCATGGTTTTCCATCAACTACTTGCAACCCGAGGAGTTTTTTTTTTCGCAGGGAGGGACGCGACAGAGATTTTTTTAGATGAAAAGGCGCTAATCACGCTCTCAGATTTTTTTGGATTGTTTGGAGATTTTTGCGGGCCTGAAACATCAGAATTGGAAAATGGGGTGTCTGCAAAGCAGATGTGATATCAGAAGAACTTTTAAACAAAAACTGTGCAGTCTGTTACAAGTAAAAACAGACAATTCGATTAATAATCAACTTAATCAATTCCTTCACCCCCTGAAATTCCTGCATTATTGCATTCTAATTTCTGACAATTTGAAGCAAATTGGTAAACATGATGGTGGGTTGCTATTTTCAGTTGCCAAATCCTACTGAAACCGCCGTCACATGTCTACAACAACAGGTTCAGCAGCTAGAACAGCAGCTTGCATACGGGTATCAGGCTTTTGAAGAGCATAGTAAAATGGTAAGTTCGCTGATTTTTGTTATCTAGTTCGAAAACTCATGAAAAATTTAGACTGCAAAATACGCTCAAGATTGTGCAGAATGGAAAGCTAAAGCAGAGGCCGCTGAAGCACAGCTGGCAGCTAAGAATGAAGAGAAGAAAGAGGAAAAGCTGTTGGAAAACGGCACAGAAGGTACTTCGGTGAGTTTTTACGCAGTTGTTTCAAATTATGAATGATGAAATTTGCAGCGGATCTTTTTTTTTCAGGAACTTGCTCTTCTCAAATCTGAGCAAGAAGATCTTCTCGTTCTCCTTGCCGATCAGCACAATAAAATTACTCAGTATCGGAATCGATTGAGAGAGCTTAAGCAAGTGGTTACGGATGATGAAGATGAGTAATGGTCTATTTATTCTTTTCGCTCTTATAATCAAATTCGGGCTTTTTCGCTCACATGTTCATCTTTTCAAGTCTTCCATTTGTTTCTTTTACACATTTGTTTTCTGCTATTGCCAATAATGGTGACTCTGTTAACAGAGATGTTTCATTGTAGAGCTTTTGAGTTCTCTATTGTCTAACAGCTTCTACGAATGGTGCGGCGGCTTTTTGACTAGTTGTTAGAGGTTGTGATTATCACGAAGGCATCATCCTCACGTACCGACTTGAGGAAATCTGTCAGAGCGCAGAGATGACAAACTTTGAGTTTTCCAAAGCTTTGCGAATGCCACTGTGCTTTCTAGAAGGTAGATATTAAAGTAGTAATAGTGAAGTTGAAGTAGTGTTTTTTCTTCCTTTGTGCAATACAAAGTCGGTGAGAAAGGGGAGCAATTGTGATAACAGTCGAGCACTCTATGAAGAACATTGTTACTTGTATCATTCTTACTTGCTTCATGCATGTTAAGGTTATCATCTGTGATGGTGTGGGTTCCTGGTAGTGTCTTTTCTTCTTCTTCGGTACGACTTGTCATAGTATAATCTATTTATTAATAAAGATATTTTATTTCACTTCTGCATCATGTACAGACTTTCTTATCAAGCGTTTATCAGGCAATAACGGACCAAGCCTTACATAAAAGGTTATGGCGGCAAACGGCAAATAAGATAGCGAGATGAGCACACGAATATATTCAAACAGAGGATAAGATAAATGACAAACAGATAAAAATTGTTAATTAAGCAGGAGCTGGTGCTCCGGCTCAACCTTACATGTACGGCTGTACAAGTGAAGCGAATAAATACGCAGCCATTATACGAAGCATAGTATGGAATAAACAAAGGAATAATAGGTCAAATTAAAATAGAGAGTGGGGTGTTTAAAATGAGAGCAGGGGCGGGCATTCGGAGACGATCTTGTTGGAGACGGATCCGTGGTGATCAACAAGGATAAATGCATCAGGTATGCCTCAGCACAGGGTAACCGCGATGCAAGGCTGGCGCAGCTCCGCCTTGGCAAAATCTTAGTACCGCAAGGGTACTATATATCGACTATATACAAATACATATAAGTGGCGGTCTCAGAATTTCGGTTCGCGCCGGAGGAGCGGCAAGAATTTTTTTTCAGTGAAGGTGCGTGGGGTTGGCTATTCACTCCGAAAAAATTTTTGGTGCCTCTAAAAATTTTTGCGGGCTCATAATTCCTAATATTTAGAAAAAGGGGGAGTGGCTGCCGCTGCGCCTCGAAAAAATTTTTTTTACAAGGTTAATTGGCGTTTTTGAAAATTTTTAAAATTTACTCCAATTATTCACAGAAATGAACAAGTCATTTGCACATTTTTATAACCCATGTCAGTAAATTTCAAAAAATTTTGCGACCCCTTTTCGAAGGGGGGGGCCTCCTATCTCGGACCGCCACTGACACATACATATACAAATCTGTCTACTCGATTGTACTCACTTTATTCGCGGTGACGGAAACAAAGCGAATACCAGCCTACGACAGGTAAAGCAGGATGCCGACATTGTAGCGACACGCAACTATGGAACAGCAAGTCAGGGTGAAAGTTACTTGAAAAGTACTCTCGAACCCTATCCGATTCCGCAAGTATGAAATGATCATTTCGCTAGATTGATTGTAACAAATTCCTTTCCCACCTGCCCGAAGCCATCACGCTGTCAGACTACATTTGATCAATCTATGACCCTCGCTGCCAGTTGCTTGAGATAGTTGCATTCGTATCCTGCCTCAAGCTCTTCTTCTCTCTTGCAGTCTCCTTGATGATGTGCGAGATGCGTTTCAAGCTCTCAGGAATTGAGGCGCACTCTCCGCAGCTCCCGCGCCTTTTGGAAGTCGTTCATAGTCGTATGCTGGATTTTTCAACGGCCGAGTCATAACTTAACATGAGCTCTTTTAGCTTGTTGTTCGTACCGCGAAGCGGCACGATGTAGATTTGAAGTACACGAATGTCTTGAATATGCTTTATTGCTCACACTAAGTAAAAGAGATTACAAGAACCAGAGAACATAAGTTGCCTGAGAAGATTACCTTCGGGCTCCTCGTTGGGAGAGGCCTTACCGCCCCCCTTTGAACTCCCGCCTTTCCCTTCAAGAGCCCTGCGGCTCTCTCAAAACATAATTCGCAGATAAGCCGTAATGTTTATAAAACTATGATGAGGCACGCAGTACCGTGTTCTCATTCATTGGAATCATGATCGCGAGAGTCATGACACTCCGCGCGAGAAAAGAGAAATTTTTTTATGGGTATAAATGGATACATTGAAAGAAAAATACATAGTAACTTAGTACACTACGAACAATGTCATATTATGTTAACGAAGTCTATCTCCTGTCGCATCGGCGTGGCAGTGGCTAGTGATCCGATCCAATTGCCGTGACAGCTTCTATAATTCTGATTACCTTTGAGTTTGATTTTTTTCCATTCGTATTGTTTTTTGCTTCTTGGTTCTGTGTTTGTGTTTAGTTTTCCCTTGTATATGAATGAAATTTGAATTGTTGCAGAAGGAGACAATTTTTGATTTATACTAACGTTTATTACAAACTAACTAGTAATTAAGCAAGCAATAATGATATCGATAAGAGTAAGCGTTACTACTCATTAATGCAAATACCATAAGCAGCCGTAAGTAATATATTGGTTGCTTCAAATTTTTGCCGTCTTACGGACAATAACAATGTGTAATTGAAGTGTTGCCTTACACAAACAAGCAATTATAAAGTGTTACCCTAGAGATTACAAACAGGTATTATCTTACAAAAGCAGTTACTTTACAAAATACAAGCAAGGTATAACCTTAAAAGAAACAAGCAATTACCTTACAGAAATATGACAACAGATTGTGTACAAGTAATTTCCACAATTGCCTTAAGTTTCATTGCCTATTGCCTTTTTGCTTACCCACCTTAGAATTCGAACTGCGCGGGACACAAGGCTGAGTGGTGGACAGTAATCTCCCCCTCCCCAGTTTCCTACAATAAAAGCAAGGTGCATTGGCAGCACACGAGGTTGCCATGTGTGTTGCCTTTCCCAGACAACGTTCACATTAATTTTTTGCCTACAAACGTTGCCTGCGTTGCGAAAGCGTAGAATATGTTTTGCACGTAGTTACCCAATGATTACCTTCGCAAAATATGCAAGTGTTTGGGGGTTGACTTTGATAGCCTTGATTGCCTTGATTTCCTTGTACTCGAGACGGTCCGTGATGTGGTGACGCGGGTCTTTCCTGTGGCTTGTCTTTGCTTTCCATCTTCGGTACGTTGTATTCAAATCGCAGTTTTTCCTCGATTGCGGAGTGCAAAATTGCCCAAACTTGACGGAGGGTTTTTTCATAGCTCTTCCCCATGTTTATTGCCGTGTCGTCGTGGGCGTCCAAACACCAATCAACTTTCTTGCGGATCTTGCCCATTTCCTGTAAAATTTGCCTGACGCTGCGTTCAATTGAAGGAAGGAGTGACGGACAATCAATTGGTGGTGGTTTCGGTGAGTCGAATAACTCGTTCACTTCTATTGCCTGATGTCTTGCGGGTGGTTGTGGTTGCTCTGGCTGTGGTGAATCCTCGTCCATTTGCTGAGCACCTTCTTGTGGTGGCTGAGACATTTCTCTGAAATTACACATTGCATTACCAGGATCATATTGACAGTAATATGAATTTCACAACATTTATAAAGGGTATAAGTGATGCGAAGGCAGACTTTGAAAAGAAAAACGGTATTTTAAAAAGAATTCTAAAAGAGCGAAGGACTATACTGACCGCTCGTAACGGAGGAAAAAGGCTTGTGATTGCGTAGATGTTGCCATTGCCTTTGTATTTCCTCGTGCTAGCGGACAACTTGCTAAGATATACCGCGCTGATAACTATTGAGAATGCCAGCGCTGTGAATAGGCAGATCGTGTAAAGTACATAGCTTCTGTAAATGTCGAGAAAATGTGAGAAATCAGGAAATTCAAAATCAAATAGATCATTACCTTTACTAGTATTGCCCCAGGCTTTAATGTAATGGATGAAAGGTTGTATTCCACTGATATAGTTCAAAGATCCCTTAATATCAAAGATTAAACGCTGTTTGCCACATTTTACTTCATATTGTTCTGTAATTTGCGCTCTATTGAGAGAGACGGACGTTATTTTCAGCACCATCTTTTGAGCAAGTGATCAAAAACTAACGTGCGTTACGGTCTACTGTGTTATAGCGTAACGGACGCTTGAATAGCAAATTAAAGTGGCTATTGCGCCTTTCCAACATTTATAACATCCTATTATTCATTTTGGAACTATTTGACATGAAAATTCTGTGATTTCTTGCTTTATATATGCTATTTCAGTTGATGTAGAAGGTATCCTTACTGTTGCTACCTTACGTTTTCCTTCTATGTTTATCGCACCACTGGGTATCGGCACTGGCAATGTGTTGTAGAGGTGCATACTGTTACTAGTATTGTTATTGCTGCAGTAGTAGTTCACATAGTCTTCTGCGGAATTACATTTGCATGTGTCTTTAATGTTGCATGTGTCAATTGTCAGTGTTCTATTTTGGCAGGCGTGACTGAAGGAGGTTTTTTCTTCTAAGTATGCTGTGTTTTTCTCATTTGTCATGAAACGTTTCGACAAGAGTGTAATAGGGTTCCAATCCATTGAAGTTATTTTTTAGCATTTCCTAAAGGTTTCATCACTTGCGGGGTCAATTCCACCTTGTACCTTATTGTTTTGCTGTTGACATATCTTCTTTGTTCATGATCGTGTTACATTTATGGTCGTTAGATAGAGATTGCCGTAAGTTCAAAGACATTTTAGCGAAGGCTTGCTTACATGTTTTGTACCTTTCTATCAATGATTCTGTTGTTTCGTCGATCATGAGGACATTATCGACATACAAGTTTGCTTGCAATTCATCGTTGATTTCCTTTTTGATATTACTTTTGATAACCGATACTTAATAGACATGCCCAAGAGGAATGGTGAAGCATTAATACCGAAGGGTAATCTGCAAAATCGAAGTACCCGGATATTGCCATTTACTGGTGGTTTCGATGTGTCTCTCAGCCAAAGGAACCTCACTGAGTTCCTTTCAGATGGGTGTAGGTGTACCATGTGGAACGCCTTTTCTACATCTGCTATCAATATTTTATTGCCAATGCGTGATCTCAGTAGTATGCCGATAAGATTTGGAAGCATCATAGGCCCTTGATGTATCACATCATTGAGGCTTAATTGTCCAGTCATTTTGGACGATGCATCCAAGACTGTTCTAGTCTTGATAGTCTAACTTGACATTTTTATTACCGCTTGATGTGGTATGTATTATAGTACCATGGGTTTTCTCCCAAAGGCTGATCTGTAGCATCTTCGATAAATTTCCTTTTGAGCTGTTCGTTGATTATATCACAGTATTGTTTCCAGCATTTCGTGTTTCTTTCATTTTGAATAACTGATGTAATCTGCTCAGAGCTAGGCGGCTGTAACTGTCTGAAATGTTGTTTTTGTTAC